AGGTCTTCAGGATGGAAAATTATATGTGGCTCACGCTAATGCAGAGGACAGATTTCTTTCATTCTTCAGGCTAGTCATTCAGCACCAAATTATCCGTTGTTGTTAAGTGAATGCACCATGGAAGTGAACAGAGCTCCTCCCCTGCACATCAGCAGGGCATTTGGCCTTCAATGTTTAGAAATGGTTCTATATTCATTTCTTTTTCTCATCGGGATGGCTTTGGCATATGTAGCAGGAGGTTATGTAGGGGAAAGGACGGAGGTAATAATGCAAATATCTTTGAATTCATCGGTATAATGCTCTTATTTCCCTAGATGCTAACTCCATGGGTGCTTCAGGGTTGGAACACCCACAGGAAAAAAACCGGGGGTGCTCAGCAGCTACCAACAGCCCCACAAATTAGCTCGCCCTCCCTCTCAGTAGCCCTGACAATCTGCTCCTTGCCCTTCCTCCCAGTGCCTCCCACCTGCCACGATCAGCTGTTCAGTGATGTGCAGGAGGCACTGAGGGGAAGCAGTGGGGACAGGAAGAATATGGGGAAGGGTGTGGGAGAGGGTGAAAGTGGGGCAGGGACTAGAGGGAAAGGATGGAGTGGGGGCGGAGCCTGGGGCAGAACAGGGATCTAGCACTCCCAGGAAAATCCCAAAGTTAGTACCTCTGGTTATTATAACAGGTTGAACCTCTCTAGTCTGGCACTCTCTAGTTCAGCAGCCTCCATGGACCAGCATGATTTTAGTTAGCCAGATGTCCACTTATCATGGGTGTGGCCAAGTTTCCTGTGGCCCCGTAGATTTTTACAGGCGCCAGTCCTGGCTCTCAGTGTTCTGTGCTGCTATTTAGCTCTAATTTACCCCTAAATGTCTTCTAAGAGCCCAGTGGAAGTGTTGGTAATGCTGCTAGACAATACCGACCTCCCATGGTTCAGCAAATTCTCTGGTTCGGCACCAGTCAGATCCTGAAGGTGCTGGACTAGAGAGGTTCCGCCTGTATTAGAGAGGCAGTGGGTATGGCCCTGGGTTGGTGCTCAGGTGACCTGGATTGGCCAATGACCAGCCATTTGATTTGGGGCAGATCACTTCACCTGTCTGCCTGTTTCCCCACCTACTTGCGGTGTTTTCTCTGTTTAGGTTGTAAATCAGATTTTGACTAAAGCTCCTAAGCCAGTTAGGCACTTCTGAAAACTTTAGTCCATAAGCTCTACAAGGAAGGAGATATCGCTCACCATGTTTGTATAGTGCCTAGCACAATGAGGCTCTGACATTGGTTGTGTCCTCTAGCTATTACTGTAATACAAATAAATAAATAAACGTGAAATACTAATCATAATGATTTGTGAACCATGACACTTGTGAATCCCATTGTTTAGTGAACTTGATCCCATTGTTTAGTGAACTTGATCCCTGTTACAATTTAACCCTGTGTTTATTTGTAGTACTCACTTTTTTAACCTTTTATATTGTGATTGCGCCCAGAGCCAAATCTGGGTCTAATTGTGCAGGATTTCTGTACAAACTTACCATAAATGACAGTTTCTACACTAAAGAGCTTATGTTTAATGTATTTTTTATTAGATTTCACCAAGGCAGGTTATATATATTTTTGAAAGATAAATATTTATTTGACTTGGAATTGTGTTTTCCTTGTTTAATGGATGAAATAATAAAAATCCTGGGCTAAATTCTCCCCTGGTATAAAACTCCATCAATTTCAATAGACTTTAATGCCACAGCTAAATTAATATGACCTATATTCATGGGCCTGTATTTTTCTTGCAAAAATGTGTTGGGAATCTGAGCCCCTCTAGTCTCTGGCATATTCTTAAAGAATCTTTTAATTTCGCATCTGCATGAAAGGCTGCTAATCATTTCCTGAAGGAAAACTGCAGTCTCATTTTGTTGCATTACCGTAATGAAATGTCAGCTCGTCACTAGGTTTGCCATGCAGCAGATGTCTGATAATTACTGTTGTCACGGGGTTATTGGTGTTTACCCGGATTGTTTAGTGAGCCTCACACATCACGCTGTAACTGCACAGTAATAGCAAATCTGGGAAAGAAGGAACGCTGATGTTTCTTAGTACTATCCTGTGAACATTTGTCTTGCAATTGGTCCGTTGTATGTCTAGATTACCGCTTCCAGAAGAATACTTCCTCACAGAATCGGTGCACTATTTAAGCAGATGCACAATGACACTGGGTAACCACACACTGTCATACAAAGAAACAAATGAGATCATTGTATGCTATTCAAGCTCTTGTATCATCCTTTGCTTTAGATGACAGTGACATTGCAGATAATCTTTTCTGAAAGTTATTGTTTAAATTGAATACTGCTGGCATGATTCTGCTATACAGTACAATAAATCCTGTTTCTTTTTATAATTTCCTTTTTCCCCTTCCACACGGGACATAGAAATTCCTTTTCTTACCACCACAGTATTGCCTCCAGGATAAATTGAAAACCCAGTAGTGAGTTTGTTAGAAGGGTATCTTTTGACCTCATGATCTATGAGGATGAGCTTTTCAACCTTATATAATTCAGCTGGATCTGATATTTAGCAGTGCTATAAACCTGTTTAAAACTTGCAATCCAGTCTCACTAGCACAGGAAGCAGTTGATTCTTTCAGCCTAATCATAATTGCGATCTTGCCTGTTGTAAAATTTCAGAATGGAAAGTTGGTTGAAAACATGACTTTGCTATGAAAGGGTTCCTGTGACAAAGGCTTGCAAGGCCACGCTTCTGACCATGAGAGTGACTTGTTATTTTCACGGTTCTTTAATTTTATTCTCTTTTAGAATAAAACTTCCCGTGTCTCTTTCAAAGGTCCCTGTTAATGGTACAGCTAGAGCATGATGCTATCTTCCGGAGTTCTGGCATCGACAATCTGATGATCACTCAGGGGTTGAAAAGAGCCTCTTTCAAACTGAAAATGTTCTCTGCTTTCTTGATGTCTGTTCCCCTTGGCACAACAAAGATGCTAATTTAGCCCCCTCTGTCTTTCAGTCTTTGCCTAACCCTCTCATGTGGGCATGTTTCTCTCTATGGCTACGGCTACACTATGAACTTTTTCTGGAAGAGGAAATGCAAATGGAGTGCTCATTTGCATATTATGCATGCTCATTTGCATATTCTCCTCTGATCCTTTTTGCGGAAGAGGTTTTTGCGCAAAAAAGTGCCATGTAGATGGCGCCTGTTTGCGAAAAAAAACCCTTTTGCGCGAGACCCCCATCTTCCTCAGGATTGGAAAAGAGTATGCAAATGAGAGTACAAGATATGCAAATGAGCACTCCATTTGCATTTCCTCTTCCGGAAAAAGTTCGTAGTGTAGCCGTAGCCAAAGTGTGTATCTAATGTTCTGTAGATCAGCCAAGTAGAATTGCAATTTTGAGATGCGCATCTAAAACATCCTGTGGACTCACTCTGAGTTAGTAGATGGAGTAAAGCTTTGCACCATCTGCGAGACTCGACTGCAGTTTATTTTCTTTTTCAACAGCAAAACTCCCTTTCCCGGGTACTAAGATCTCTGGAGATTTGCCCATGTTCTTTGGTTAATGACTTTTGTCAGCTTGAATTTTCTCCTAACGTTTGTTCAGTGCTGGTGAAAAGTGCTAGATTGACAGCCCTGGCTGGAGGGCTGCCAGGTGCCCTGAATCTCACGTAACACACATTTGGCAGTCCTGCCATACTATGCTGTCTCTCAGGCTGTATCTACACTGCAGGCTTCTTGTGCAAGAAGCTTTTGTCGGAAGAGATCTTCCGCAAAAACGTCTCGCACAAGAGCGCGTCCACGCTGTAAAAGCGCATCAAAAAAGCGATGAGCTTTTGCGAAAGAGAGTGTCCAGAGAGCATGGATGCTCTCTTGAAAGTGAGCTCTGATTGCTATGCACCGAATGGCCAGCGGGGCACCTGGGCTTTTTCCTCTTTCCATGCAACAACACCCTCTTCCCCATCCACGCACACCTTTTTGCGAAAGAGCTCTTGCGCAAAAAGGCATTCTTCCTCATAGAATGAGGAATACCTACTCCGGAAAAAACCATTGTGTTCTTTCGATTTTTTTTAACAAACATGCACTTGAGGTGTGGATGCTCCGTGAGTTTTTCCGAAAAAACTGCAGTGTAGACATAGCTTGGATCCAGATGTCATGCCTCTGGCTCAGTTGCTGGAAGGCTGTAGGCATTTGCCTGCAGTTGCACCTTTTGGACAATAGAGGCTGTGGAGACAGGCATGTGCCACTAGGAGGGGCTTTATATGGGCCCTGGGCTCCCTGCTTCTGCAGGCAGCAGCTCCGGCCATTTAGGAGTTTCCGCACCTCCACTTCCCAGCCTGCTCTGCTCTCCGGTGAGACAACAGGCAGATAGGGTTGTAGAAAGCACCTCTTCTAATCCTAGAGTGGCCGGTGTTACCTGAGGTGGTTCTGTTGCTCATCTAGTTACAACCCAACCCTGCCTTGTTCTTCCTCAGTCCTGGTCCCTTGCCAAGCTCAGTTTCTCTTGAAATGTGTCTGTCCTCCATTTCCGCTCGCCATACCACACTGGAGATTATCCTCCTTTGATATGCAGAACAACAGTCCTCCGACAAGCACTGGTCCCAGGGCGGTGCTGGTTTAAGTGATGACACATATAATTAAAAATGCTTCAGCTGATTAATTTACACCACATAAAGTAAGGTTGCTGTCATTTTCAATAGAGCTGCCCGTGCTGATTTTTCTGATGATTCAAAATGTAAGAGAAAGTTTCAAAAATACTAAGCCCAGCAAGGGGAAAATATTTTCAAACTCCCCAAGAGGACTGTCCAAGGCTTACTACAAACCTATAGTGGGTCAACAACTATTTTGGAAAGTATGATGGTGTGGTTGGCTTTTTAAAGTCGGATGCCTAGGCCTGGGTATAGCAAGTAAGTTGTTGGAGAAGGAAGGGTACTGTTCTATACCCAGGAAAAAGTGGTTTCTTCCTGATCTGCTGGGTAGCGTTTGAAGAGCATATTCCCCCATTTGTTTACAGTGCACTATCAGAAGATCATTCACCGTGACATCAAGCCTTCCAACCTGCTCTTGGGAGATGATGGGCATGTCAAAATAGCGGATTTTGGAGTCAGCAATCAGTTTGAAGGGAATGACGCCCAGCTTTCCAGCAGTGCTGGGACACCGGCTTTCATGGCTCCAGAAGCGATTTCCGACTCTGGCAAAAGCTTCAGTGGCAAGGTAGGTCTTGGAGCCCCTCTAATTAATCTGAGTTTTATGATCCGGGGAACATGAAAAGAAGGGTATCATCACCCTCATTGGTGCCTCTCTGTTCACAGGCAAAGCGAAATAGAGCAGAATATTTCTTGTACTATTACGGAGTCTAATCCTGAGGTCCTAACTCTGTTTTACTCAAGACACAACTCCTGTAGACGCCAACAGGAGTTTTGTCTGAAGGAGGCTTCAAGTTTTGATCCATTATTCTTCGTGTAGGTCTGATTTCTGCCAGTCTTCATTGTTCAGTAGTGTGTGTCTTCCTCCACAAGTAGTCTGATTAAAATGAATGGCATTGTTTGTACAGTGAGATGCTACTGGATGTGATTAAAGTGGGCAGAATTTGGCCAAGAGTGATCAAAGTGTGCCAAGTGGTTTGCAGACTTCTTTGTGTGCATATAGCAATGTACTTATCTAATTACATTGTTCAATATCTATAAAATTGGGTTCCTAATAAAACAATTTATTTTTATGCTTGAGAAAATAACTGGCTGATCTAAAATGTATCTAGGTGTTGTACCTAATTTACTAAGTGCAATTGCTTTCTTTCAGGCACTTGATGTATGGGCCATGGGAATTACTTTGTATTGCTTTGTAAATGGGAAGGTAAGATGATTTCAGAACAATTGAATTTTATAAAGGAGACGCAGCTTGGTTATTATTAGTCTGCACGAGCAAAAAATCTTTATGGTTTTGTAGGATCCTCCCCAGGCCATGCAGGGCCCCACAAATCACACTGCACAGTTCCAAAGTAAAATGTAGAGGAGCAAGTTGGGGTTTTTTTTATTGCTGTGAAATGGTTTAACTAATTCAGGGTCATTCATTAGTTCAGATAACTACACACTGGTCTGTTTCTAAAATAAATTTGCACCAACTCCTGAAGAGGGTGAAAGTTGACTGTGCATCTCTCAGGATTTTGCCCCACAGCGATATCATTTCCCTATGTGTTGTGGTATGGAGAAGACGGGAAGAAGTAAGGTAAATAAAACCAGTGGACAGTTCTGTTCCAAGAAACCCTGATAGAGCTGGTTTTACAATAAATATTGTGCATTGCGCATTCATTTCCCTTTATTTTATAACTTGCCTTGGCCAGACGGTGAAGGGGACAATGCCAAAAAGTCATCCCCTCACCCACCAGAAGCAGGTGCTTACCCTGCTGTCTTTAGACGAGCTGTAAAGCATTTGTGCCTTCCCACACACTGCCCAGAAGGTATTCTGCAAGTGGCAGAGTGGCTCATGTAACATCCACTTAGTCGCAACAGCCCTGCTCCTGCCCACCCACCCATATTGCTCAGATAGGAAGAGCCGGCATTTAAGCATAGATCAGTCAACTAGGAAAAGTTACAAATGTGTGTTGAGCCCATGTGTCTGAATTTAGCACAGAAAATTTAAGAAGTGATGTAGGAAGACTATTCTAGGCATGGCGTAGGTGGCTAGTGCCCACAATCTGTAAAGCTGTTCTTTGGAGCATTTTAAAATCTGTTGAAGATCCTAGATCACGAACAGAGCTCTCAAGTAAATGTCATCGTTAATATGTGAAACCTGTGTCCAGCACCTGTGAAGACTTGACGCTCAAGATTCTATTTCACCTGCAAAAGTCAATGACGTTGCAAGCAGCCAGCGCTGTCAGGGGAGACTGTGACATGACCAGTAGTCATGGGAGGCCTCAAAATTGTGAACGGACATAATAGCAGGCAACTGAAAAAGGAAGCAATTTGTTATGTATCATATAAAAATATACCCCTGTGGTCTGCTGAGTGGAATTCTCCTACTTGTGTAGGCTCCCTACAGTTACGCTGTCCATACATCCCGGATTTTCCAGGACAGTCCCAAATTCAAAGATTCTTTCCCGTTGTCCCCATGAACTATCAAAATGTCACAGAAATTCCAATATTTCAGCAAATATTTCAGGGGAGTGGGGGGGGGGGGGGGGGGGCAGAGCCCTGAGGCTTCCCACCAGATTTGGCTTCCAGGAAAGAAGCTCAGCTAGAAGTAGCTATGCGCGCTGCCGCTGCCACTCCCTCTCCCCCTGGCTGGGGGAACAGCAGCGCAGGGACACACCTCCTGGAGGCTTTTCCCACTGCTCCGGAATCTGTCCAATAGGAGTAGTGCAAGGCAGTGCCTGGGGCATGGTTTTGGGAGCCGCAAGAAAGCAAGTAAGGGTCCTCCCTCACTTACTGCCCTTCCAACACCCCGCACCCCCAACCCCCTCACTTACCACCTTCCCAACACCCTGCCCCAGCCTGCTCACTCACCACCCTGCCAACACCACGTACACCCAGCCCACCAACTCACCACCTCCAACGAGACCCCACACTCAGACCGCTCACAAATCAGAAAAAAATCCTTTGTCAAATCATGTGTCCCAATTTTTGGTTTGGAAAATATGGCCACTGTACTTCAATGTCCTTCTGATAAAAAAATCTCCATAGTAACCCTGTACGGCATTGGCTAGGAGAGCAACACCACATGGGGACTACACCCTTGTGTGTGTGTTATGAATAAGGGTTTCTCCCTGGCTCCAGATAAACTGGTGTTCAGGAGTGCATTGAGGGGAGAGGGGCAGGAATGGAACCATTGTATCTGTGCATACAAGTTGTGTCTAGGAGTCTAATGCAGCAGCAGACACATTCCACAGACTGGAAGAGGGGTGCATGGTAACCCGCAGCCTTCCTGCAAGTAGCATGTGTGTAGGGTAGATTCTGGATTCCATCCCCTAGCCCTTGGGTAATTTTCTTGCTTCTTCTTTGTTTTCAGACAGTTAATTCTCCATTATTTATTTTTGAGATAATTTTATCCTTTGTGTGGTAAACAATAATATACACAGCTTTTCATCTGTAGATCTTAGAAGTGCTTTACAAAGAACACTAGTGTTATTACCCCCATTTTACAGGTGAATAAGCAGAGGCAAAGGGCAGTGAAATAATTTGCCCATGGTAGCCCAGCAAGTCAGTGGCAGAGTCCAGAATAGAACCCAGATCTCTTGAGAACTATTCCAGTGCTGTATTCATTGGGTGACCCCGCTCTTTTAAAAGCTCTGAATTTAACTTTTTAAGTAAGGCATAAAACTGCTTGTGAGAGGTGGGTAGATTTTACTAACATACCCAGCATGTATCTTCTGGGTCAAGTTCAGAAGGGACTTATGACACAAGCGTATTTGCAACTGTTAACCATTTGAGATGCACTAACTAACAGTTGAAAAACCATGGGTTTGTTTTGCAGTGCCCTTTCATAGATGAGTACATTCTGGCTCTCCATAACAAGATCAAGAACAAGGTAGTGGAGTTCCCAGAAGAGTAAGTAAACTTTACTGTGCTATTGTAAAATGAAAGTGCTGTTTGCAAAAGTGCAACATAAATTATAACAGGTGCCCGTTGTGCTGTATACACCAGTGATGTGTTTTTCATTCTTCTGCGTCCTCCCTGATGTTGCATTTGTTCTGAGGTTTCCTAACTGTGTAAGACACTGATATGGCCTGCATCGTTGTAATATCTTATTGTGCTTTAATAGAAATCTGTATTTGTATAAATCTTCAGTCTGTTTATTTTCACAAACCCTTGTGAGGTAGGGACATGCTGTGGTCCCTGTTTTATAGATGGGAACCTGAGGCCTGAGACTAGGCAGCTTGCCCAACGGAAATTGGTTGTAAAGCAGGGACTTAAATTCTGAGTCTCCAATATTTCACTCTAACCATTGAATTCTCTTTCCTCTCCAGCTGAGCTAGTCTCCTTGTGGTGGCTTTGGGGATGCTGTTCCAGTTGGGCTGTGTCTGTTCTTTGTTTCTTTTGCTTCTTATCCACTCTATTGTTTGTGAAAGTAAGACATTCCAGGGCCAAACTCTGGCCACAAACAAGCAGTCCTCTGGAGCTAGGTGCAACATATATGAAGAGAGAATTTTGGTCCGAAGCAATTTACCAAGGTTTCCAATGCTAAGTCAAAGCAAGTAACTTGAGTAAGGGCTGATAGGTGCCCACGGTAATGTAAAATATAATGTAAAATATTTATTTATTTTGGGTTTTTGTGAAGTCTAACCAAAGAATATCCCTCTAATTCTTATAGCACCCTTAATCTTAAACAGTGCACTACAAATCAGACACAACAGTGACCCAAGATCAACTGAGAGAGCCTAATGACACCAAACCACCCTCTGTACAGTCCCCAAGGTTCTTGCAACATGTCCAGAATGCAGAAAAACCTGGCTTGTTACGAACCTTGGGAGGAAGCCAGTTCCAAAGGTTTGGAGTGAGTGGAGACTGCTTTGGGTCTGCCCTGTTGGATATTGCCACAGGGTTTCAGCGCAGGGGCCTCTGCTAACCAGAGTGATGCAGTATGTGCCAACACCTCTTCTGCTGAAGAAGGGTATTTATTCTTGAAGCCAAATTCAGCAGTTCAATACCCTCATCGCTTACAAAAAGATACGAGTGTTAGCGTGAAGCGAGTGGGCTTCAGGAATTGCTGCAATACAGAGATGGAAGCTATCAGGGCACCATGCCATGATATCCATAAGGAATTGTGTATAGAGAAGGGAACCCTAGAAGGGTAATCAGAAAAGCAGCTACTAGAAGCAGGTCTGGCTACAGTCTATCTGTGAAACCTGCTGCTGTAGCAGAATTCTTCATCTCAACCCTTGTGTTCTAGTGGAGTGCTGCAGGGTTAAGATACTTGCCTAACTCAGCCTGCTAAAAAGACAGGATGAATAGACACACACCAGAGGTGCCGTCGGCTCACTGATTGATTAGAAACTGCAACCTGCCCATTTGGTGGTGCCAAGAAAGTATCACAAGCCCTGGCATCTGTAATGGTTTTTATAATCCCCCCCCCCTTTTTTTCCTCATAGCTTAAGATCTAGGACTCTGTGACTAATGAACATAACACTAAATGCAACTAAATACAGGTTGGACCAGCACCCTCAGGACCTACGGAAATTTGCTGGACCAGGGGAGGTCCCCTGTCACCGGCCTCCCAGCATGCTACCCCTCTCTGCTGTTGGTTCTGCTGCCGCCAGGCTCCAGGCAGCAGACTCCAGTTATAGCCAGCTCTGCTAGAGCTCCCCAGGGACCACCAGTAGCCCAGCTTCTGCCCTGCCCAGCTGAGGCTCCCCAGCCACTGCTGTCGCAGGCTGGAACTTTCTAGCCACCAGACTCCTGGCCTGCTCCCACTCCTGGCCGCCAGAGCTCTTTGGTACAGCACCATCTGTGGTCCTTCTGTATCACATATGTTGTCAGACCAGAGAGTCCTGGATTTAGGAGATTCATAGAATCCTACGGCTGAAAGAGTCCTCAGGAGTCATCGAGTCCAGCCCCCTGTTAAAAGCAGGACCAACCCCAACTCAATCATCCCAGCCAGGACTTTGTCAAGCCAGGACTTAAAATCCTCTAGGGATGGAGATTCCACCACCTCCCTAAGGAACCCATTCCAGTGCTTCCCCACCTGCTTAGGGAAATAGTTTTTCCTAATCTCCAGTCTAGACCTTCCCCCCTGCAACTTGAAACCACTGCTCCTCATTCTGCCATCAGTCACTTCTGAGAACAGCCTCTCTCCATCCGCTTTGGAACCCCCCTTCAGGTAACTGAAGGCTGCTGTCAAATCCCTCCTCACTCTTCTCTTCTGCAGACTGAACAAGCCCAAATCCCTCAGCCTCTCCTCATAGGTCATGTGCTCCAGGCCCCTAATCATTTTCGTTGCCCTCCACTGGACTTTCTCCAATGCACCCACATCTTTTCTGTAGGTTCAACCTGTAGTAGTAAGGAGAAAATAAATTGACTTAAGCTATATTAAGTAAGTCAGTAGTTCAAGAGGCTGGAAGAACTCAAAACCCATGGAAGCCAAATCCAGCGGGATAGTAGCATCAGTCTAGAGAAATGTTTTCCCGAGATGAGTTTCACGCTGCAATAGTGGGTGGATCACAAATGCTGTTCTGTTAGACCCAATAATACAGTGAAATAGTAACACCTACGTCTGTCTTGTTGCCTGTATCCTATAGTAATAATGAGAGTAATTTCATGTCATTTGTAATTATGGGGTTGAGTTTTTTTTCTTGCTGATGTCCATTCAAAAATAGACAGGCTGTGCCAATGAGTGTCAGTATAGAAGTTAAAGAGTTAATAATACATGAGAGAGCTATCTTGGGAGCTCCTGTGAACGTCATGTTGGGACCAGTGAGCGCGGGATGTTTTGAGTATTTTGTTTCTAGTGGAAGGGCAGACACAGCATGACCCAGAAGGCTCACAGGGATGAGTCCCAGGGGATACATGTGAAGGCTCTGTTCTCTTGACCCACAGAAATCAGTTGTTCTATTCCTGTAAACTTGAACTGCCTAGCTGAAAAGTCTGTCCGCAGATTAGTCAGACTCCTGCCTTCTATCAGCAGCCCCATTATTAAAATTAGCCAACCACCCAGAAAGAATCAGAATTGTAGTGCCCTGTATCAAAGTCCTGTGATAAGAGGTAATGGAAGTCTGAGCTATTTGCTCTGATAACCCTGGTGTAGCTTGATGTGGGACACAACAGAGCTGTACTATTGGATAATCATGTAACGCGACATCCTTTGATATTTCCTGTGCAGAATATTAATTGGGAATGAGACTTCTGTTGGAGGATAACGGTTGGCCCTGCAAAGGATGAAACAAAGCTGTTGATGGACTGGATATATGAAACAAGAATCAGAGGGGTGGTCGTGTTAGTCTGAATCTTCATAATCAATTAGAAGTCCTGTGGTACCTTAGATGAACAGATTTATTGGAGCATAAGCTTTCGTGGGCAAGGACCCACTTCATCAGGTACATCTGACGAAGTGGGTCTTTGCCCACGAAAGCTTATGCGCCAATAAATCTGTTAGTCAATAAGGTGCCACGGGACTTCTCCTTGTTTGTGGATATACGGAAAGCTCTCTTCCAGAATTCCTACCTACACTGGGATGGGATTTTTTACTAAATTGGCAACTAGGATGCAGCAAAGTTGATACCGTCCATGCCACATGATAAACACATGATTCCTAATCATGTGGCTGTTCCTTATTGCAGCACTGGGTTCTACCTGGGTTCAGATATGAATAGGGAGGACCCTCGTTGTACATGTTTAACCAGTACTGCTGTCCGATTATTCCCTGCCTTGCATGTCATGTATTCACATACACCTGTGCAAAGTGGGTATAAAATGCTTTCATTCTGATATTGGTACTCTTTTACACTCACTTTGCACAGGATGTAAATAACGACACATCGTACGTGGCAGTAGGGAACCAGGCCCCGGGTCTGTGCAGTACACCAAGTGAAAAACATTTAACCTCCACCTTTGGCATACATAGCTAAGGCTATATGAAACTGCTGTCTGCATGTTTCACAGAATGTGCTGAATATAATGATGATACAATTCCATCAACTATAAGGATTACTGTGTAAAATCCCATGCCCTGTGCTATGCAGGAGTCAGACAGCACAATCATCATGTTCTGTTTGGCCTTAAAAATATCGATCTGTTGATGTCAGGATTGTGCAGCATGGCAGATGTGTACAAGCCAACCAAATTAAAACACAGTTGTAGTGGGGAAAACACTGTTATGTGATCCATACTTTCTGTACCCCGTCAAATGAGTCCCTGGTCATGCTTACTAGGGCTCTGTCTGTAGTGTAGATCGGGCTATAAATGGATATAAACGTTCCTGCCCCTTCTCAGCACTTTCTCAGCTTTGAGCCGACACGCTGGCTTTTGGGTGATGATTCATTTATTTCACCATTTGCTTTTGGATGAGGCAGCCAAAGCTCGGTTTTTCCAATTCAGCGAAATACCTGGACGGAGAATTCCTGACCTACTTGCATTAATTAATCCTTCATGTTAATCAAAATCTAGAAATAAAGTTACTTCACTGCTTAGAAGTAGGCATGAGGAAATTAAAAGTCTAATGAAACATGCTCCTGGTGTAGAACCAGGATCACCCAGCCCAAACTGTAGCCAGATAATCATTACCCAGCGATGTGAATCATTTTTGAGATGCTTAAGGGCCTTCCCCTGTGTGCAGCTGAGCAGCCTCGATTCCTACAAAAGTCAGGAAGGGGGCAGATGAAGAGCTCGGCTCCCATTTAGGCGCTCAAATAAGATCCAGAATATCCAAACTTGTCAGTCCCCAAAGTGAGCTCCTTTGAGAATTTGGTCATTTCTGCCTAATGTGGAACTGAACTCTTGAAAATCTTGCACCAAGTGTGGGTGCTGAGCCTTTCTGAAAATCTGGCCCTTAGAGTTGAGAGCAGTCAGCACATTATAATCAGGCCTATAACACTGCAAATATGGGCAGAAATCAC